GCACAATGGTTATATTTGCATTGTTATGCTGCAGGCAAACGGAACAAGGGGCTACGGAAATACTTTACTCCGAAGGAAAGATGAACCTACAAGTGCGTCGTATCATTTATCTACGATACAGATTAAAGTATGAGTTATTCGCCCGAGGTTCTCTTAAAATAAACCGTACTGAACCATCAACAAGACGAAAGACGTCACATCTTACAAGACAATAATCCACAATCCTCATAACGAAATAATGAAACTGTTTATTTCTTTATGATGTTCTTCTAGGTTCTGGCGCCGCGGATAATACTGGCTTATGGGACGCCGAAAAAAATACTTCTAGAAAATTCTGACAGGAAAAGTGCGTACTCTTCATGCTGCACTGCAAAATCTGCACGAGGGGATTCAACAACAAAGGAATCTGAAGCATGGCCGCCACTTGGTGGTAATTTTAGTCGCGTAGTACTTGTGTGCTAAAATCCCTTCTGCGTTAAACTGATTTCGTATTGAACTTCAAGCCAACTTGTGCACTATCCTCCCAGAAAACAGGGCTTTATTACGTGATGCAAGAAGTACGCGGCATTGCGGTATACGACGCGTACAACTCGAAAATTAGGACCGTTGGTTCGGATCTCTGTCGGTGTAGGGACGTTTATCCACGTTTTAAAGTTGAATTGCTTGTATGGGAGTACAGGACTTGCAACGGACTAATTTTCTGTCAAAGGGAGCCTACTAAATATCTAAACGATTCATTCCTTCGGAAAACTGCATAATCCAGGAAGTTCGAAGAGAGAAAATAATTTCAGAGTGATCAAGCAATAAATATAAATATTTATAAAAAATATCGCCGAGTTCTTTTCAGCTTTAGGAATCAATCGTAGGCCCGAAATAAAAGTAACAGCTAAAATAAGTAGTAATCACAGAAACATTAATTATATTCTTGAATTGGACGGGCAAACATTCGAAATTCACTACACGCCACATCGTTCTGACCAATCATAAATTATCAATCACTCAATATTTTCCATCCCTAGATGATATACCTTCCTTAATTTCGGTCACAAAGAATAACGCAGCAAGTTACTTAGAAATGTTTACTTTTTTACCATTTTCACACAATAAATATCTCATATTTATTCGCAGGTAAAGTAAGAACCAGGCCAACAACGTGAAGGAACAGCTCCATGCAATCTTAATCCTGGCACCTGATGTAAAACAAAGCCACTTCCTACGGGGAAGGTGACCCCAGTTCCCGTTCGCGGGGTTTCACGACCGATACGATAACTCCAGCCGCTTTTGACTGCTTCTTCCACTTACGAAAGAATTTTTCCTTGGCGTTCTACTATATAATTAAGCGTTGTGCGATATGTTTCTTATGGTTTGAGCACTAAAATGTTTACCCGATGTCCTGGCGATATGAGCAGATAAAGTCTGAGCACTTGTAAAAGGTCCCATTACTACCCGTTTTATAATTTGTCGTTTCTCTCTGGTAGTAAATATTTTTGGATGGCTTGATCGGTGTTTCTTCTCCGTGATACCCTTTTCTTCGTCTCTCTTAATAACGTACCGAACTGTACAGAAACTCTGGCTCAACGTTTCACCAACTTGACAACAATTTTGACATTTAGTGCGCAATAAAATGATTCTATCTCGCAGATATATGAGTAATACACGTCTTAAGAGACACGATTAACCAGCTGAGTATAATCATAAACTGAATCTCAGCTTCTTACTAGGACACACTTTGTTTACGTCTTTTTCTATTTATACTTTCCTGTGAACCAATGTACTGGGTTGATCGGAAAGTTTTTGCGTTTTTCAAATGAAAAGTCTTCAAAATATATTTACAATATTTAATCAATGATATAATCTCTATTGCTTGCTATTACAGTCTCCCAACGTCTCACAAGTTTAGTAAAAACTTCTTAGTTGCGATTCAAAATATGCTATAGGACACCATCGTTAAACTCTTCGAATCTAACAAATTTCTCGTTATTTAAAGGTTTTGCGATGATTTGAATAAATGATAGTAGGATGGTGCCAAGTCCCGTGAATATGACGGGTGGTCCAAAATTTCCCAATTCAGTTCCTTTATTTTTTTCTGCGTCATTGAACTGACATGGGGACGGACTTCGTATTGGTTAAAGACAACTCCTTTTCTGTTGACGAGATCTAGACGTTTTACTTTAGGTTTTAAAACCCAAAACTTTCCGTTCAACACAACAGATTTATTAGAGGCCCTGCAATTGGAATCGCTAGTGTGCAAATACTTATTTGACCATGGAAACTGTGTTCTTGTTACGTTAATTTTGTGTGTTCATTTACTAAAATTTCTGTCATTTGTAATGAGCTATCGAATAAAGTACTTTGTAGCAATATTCTTATTCCTCTTTGTGTAAAGTTAATACAACAAAACGGGGTGTGAAAATACTTTTTTACCCACTGTATATCATATTTGGAGCCAACCTTTCACAAACAACAGGATTTGAACGCCACTGATACAAAGCACGCACCAGTGACACGAGAAATGCATACACAATTTTGGTAGGAAAATACGAAAGGAAGCCATCAATTGAAAGACCTACGCCTATATACGAACATAATATTACAAAATAGGGTGAGAGGGTGTGGAATGGATTCGTGCAGCTAACGATAGGGGCCAGAGACGCGGTCTTCTGAATACGATAAGGAACCTTGTGTTTCAGAGAAGTCCGACTATTAACTTCCCACGAACGACATTGCTCCAATGGGGTTAATCAATTAATTACAGTTGCTTGTTGTTCAGGAAGCCTGTAAGGAGAAACGCATGATAAAACATGTCCATAACATCCACCTTCAAGAGCCACAAATCGATTTTATCTAAAACAACCTTACGCAATAAAATAGCGCTTTACAACCCCCATATGAGAGGCGCGAGTAACATGAACCAGTGAATGAAATGTAATGAGATTTTAGATTGTCACTGCAGTGAGGATGATGATATTTTTCTGGACTGTAACGCCGTAGGTATCGACTCGAACAGACATGCGTTTATCTCCTGACAGAAATGTGCCTGCACAAATATCTTCAACGTGTGCTACCATTTTATCCTGACAAAGGGGTTGATGAAAGGATAATATTAAAAATGAGTCTTAAAGACATGTGACTGAGGGGTAGATGAAAGTATAATATTCAAAACGAATTTAAAGAAACAGGATGTGACAATGTGGACTGGATTCATCAGAACAAACAATGAAATTTCGGTTACCATAAAAACTGGGGAATTTCTTGAGTAACAGTGCGACTCTTAGCTTCTCAAGAAGGGCCTCTATTCTATGGCGTTATTCAATCAGATGTGTCTGACACAATTCATTCAAAACTTTGGTAACGAAATGTCATTATTTCTCTTAATCAAACTACAATGTTTGTAATAACAGGATACATGTATATGCTGAAATGTAACACAGATAATTAAAAGTGCCAACTGCAATCAGTATCACGTTGTCAGAATCAAAACACTATACAGTACTTACAATCTACAGAAATTCACCTTTTATCAATGGCTGTAATCCATTCGGTAGCCATTGTAAATTGGCTTCTTCTTTATAGGTCCGGAGACGCATTTATCACGCAAACGAGGTCCAATCACCGATATATGTATTTTGTTACCAACTAATAATATAACGCTGGTTTACCGACAAAGTGCCGCATACTAACACATCACAAAACCACTGCTGCTCCTCCTCCCTGCTCGCACTAGCCGCACTACGCTACTGTCAACTGTCTTCGAAAACAACACACTATCACGGCACAAGCCGCGGCAAAACACGAGCCCCCCCCCCAACCAAAGCACATCCAAAGAAAGAGAGACCACTACCGCTTCACACGGGCATATCGTGGGGTTCACTCCCATAAATTTGCAGCAACATCCACAAAATGTTTCCAACACTACTTTTACACAAAAAATGATATTGTCCTCAGATTCAGTTCTTTCACATTTCAAGTGTAGTCTATTCGAAAAATGTGAACAGAAGGGACCACTTGGGTGACCCAGACATAGCTAGAGGATTCATTAGAAGTGGGAAATTTCTTGATCACCTGAGGTTCTCAAATCTGTCTCTACTTCATGGAGTTAATTTGTCAGTCTAGAAAACACACAAACACTTTATTTCCACAAAGGTACTATTTTTTGTAAGGTGGATTTTTCAGTGTGTACACACGCACATGCTTATTTCGGAGTCTAAGAGGCCGACTAATCTGGCACAATATTCCTACTCAGTGGCGCAGTAAAATGGGGTACCTTGAACAATTATTAAAGTATGATCTTCTGAAGATAAGTTCACGTAGGCCTAACTGATTTATTAATGTGGTGGTCAGTGCCAAGACGGGTTGATTTTGCGAATAAACTGGCAGAAATTCATAACAGGCATTTACAATACATTAAGGGGTTTAGTTTGAAATGTTCATCACTACTGATGTTAATGCACTGGCAGGACAGTCCCATCTGTTCTATTTCGTTAACTGCAGAATAGTCGGATAAAAGAAGGTAAATATTGTTTTAACGCTAACGTATAGAGCAGATCACATCACTTCCAACAAATGAATGTTATTTACATTGTGATACTGTATTCCTTAATGTTTTATCGTGAAATGCTAACCTCATAGACATCCTATTAACAACTATTTATCTCACTACGGAGAGATTAATATACTAAAATGTATTTTTTCATAGGCATCTGTATGACGAATAAATTTTTAGCTCGGTGAGTAGAACTATTTTAATATCTGGCCATGTCATAACATGAGGTTTAATTTATGTGCATAGCTCAACAATAATGTCAGCTTGTTAATTTTTTTGGCATGAAGGCCGGAAACTAAATATGTCCCACTCGTCCTCGGTTGTCAGTCATTAAATTATTGTTCCACTAGCAATTAGTTTAGTCATTGTTTTCAGGTATTAGACAGCATGTTGGAAGTAGTCTTTCCATTGAAACTCATGATCTACAGCTGCGCTTGCCCTGTTACTCAGCAGTTCAGCATTTGCCCCCAAGAAGCGTTGATGTGCTTCCAAGTCAATAATTTCCCCTGCTCACAGACAACTGATCTGTTCCACCTCTGTACCACTTCGACGAGGACAAGGAAGGCATTGTGTTAAACAAAGATATTCGCCAATCACACATAATCTGCCAATGCTAACTGTATCACTACTGATTTGTATGTAAACAGGTATGACTGTTTGTGAGCAAAATGATTTTGGCAGACTATAGATGCATTGCGCAGAATCTTTCATCGTGCGGCTGCTGTTTACGGTATTTCTAAATTCTTACGCCAGATGTCAGGACTTGAAAAAGTGATTTTGGCAACCATGAAGATGGCCGATGGTTCCACTATTTTGAGAAGAAACCGGCCGGGAACTAAAGCAAAGGTAAAAATCAACCTATATGGCATATTGTACTGTAATTAAAGCTTCCATATTCATTAATAAGAGACCATAGTAAATTGAATACGCCACTGGTGGTTCGTAAGTTTTTGGTATGCTGTCCTGTCATTGTCTAACATTTCTTCAGAAGATACAATCCAAAAGTTATATCTTAACAACTCTTTCTAACAGGACTTCAGTCGCTGGCCCGATGAACCCTTTGAAGAGATGGATAGTACACTGGCTGTACAACAATACATTCAACAACAAATAAGACGTGAACCAGCAAACATTGATGTAATATTAACTCCTCCAGATGCACAGGATGAGGGAGTATGGAAATATGAACATCTCAGGTGCAGACAGATATTTAAGTTATAAATGTGATTTTTCACATATTTGGCCTAATTAACATTATCAAATATAAACATTTTGTCAAAATTTCATGTAGTAAGGGTAATTAAAGATTACATTTAAATGCATGAAAATGTGCAGCAAGCAAGATAAAGGCCGATTGTAAAACTGCCATGATCTTAAAATATCTCTAACCTTAGTAATTCAGGAATGACTGAAACTAGAATAATGGAATTTGTTTCGTGATAATTCATGTAGTCAATTAAAATGCTAGTTTACTGATCTCATCTGTAAAATTTGTGTTTATAGTTTCCTAGAGATAGGGCTCCTGGTACTGACTGATCAGAACTGCTGCATATAAAATGATCACAACACCCCAGGTTGGAGTGAAACCCCAAATGACCAGTCACTTTACTGAGCTACTGTGAAATCGGTTATCTTGGGTCCTTTTTGTAAATCAGCTACCAAAAAGAGAAAAGTCATTGTGCTATGCCTTTATCCCAGCACTTACTTAAAACTGAGAGAAGCATGAAAACATCATTAGCATACTTAATACTCCAGTCTAGACTACATGTACATCCCTAGTGTCAGGCACATTGCCACTTGATCTAACTTATTTTGTATATGTAAATATATGGTGAAAGCATTAGATTTTTCTGTAAAAGTTTAGATGTTTGTAATTCTACCTTTCTTGTTATTAAATATAAATAAAACTGATGATAACTCATCTGAAACATGAGTCAGTATCTACCAATATATACAATGCAACATCCCAGAAGACATTCTTCTTCATTGATTATAAAGCAACTAAAACACAAAACATGATTGTTTGCAATTCTCCAGTAAAACTATTTTGTTCTGTTAATAACAATTGTGTTCATGCCTTACTTCTAGGCAATTCTGTATGGAATTGAATGGTCTGGCTGTACGACTTCAAAGTGAATGCCATCCAGAGACATGCACTCAGATGACAGCAACTGAACAATGGATATTCCTATGTGCAGCACATAAAACACCCAAGGAATGCCCAGCAATTGACTACACACGACACACATTAGATGGAGCAGCATGCTTATTAAACAGCAATAAATATTTTCCCAGCAGGTTAGAATTAATTGACTTAAAGCTATACTCATTTGGTAAATAAACTCCCTTCACAGTGACCTACTGCAGCTAGACAGTGATTCACACCACTTAGCAACTTAACTGCCTACTGTGACTGCTGTGTACAGATGGTATGGCTCAGCATTGAAATGAGTACTTCACATCTCATGTCATTGAATACCAGCTTCCCATCATAGCATATATGAATTTGTTTCCTATAGTATAAACATTAATATTATCCACCAAACTACAGTCATATATTTTCAAATGTATAGATGCTCATCCAAGTGTTCATGTTGTCATAAAGCCTTATATTCTGATAGGAAAGATAAGTCTCTGTGTCTTGGATAAAAGTTTTTTAAGTCAGAGGTGTGATCTTTAGGAAATGCAGCAAACAAAAATATCAACACTGGGAAACAAATTGCCCAAGCAGTTTATCTGTATGCTTTATTTATATCATAGCGATCATTAAGGGCAGACCATAATAAAAATGTGGAACTTCTCAACCCCTAAAATTCATGCATATCTCTTCAGAGGGGTCTCCTCTGGTTACTTTTCAGCTTGAGAAACAAAAAGATATCGCTAGATGAATAAAGTTGATCATCAACCAATGGATTGTTATGCTTGGTATTCTCTTACAAGCACCAAGTCAGGCAATGCATCATGATGCAACAGCTGAAAGCCCAACATCAATTTTCAGAATTCCATTCTACTCCATCTCTTGGCTGTTCAGAACACCTTACTATCTGTCACTACAGATTTTGCCAATGTGAACAGTTCCCTCATTGTGTGATAATCATAGATGGATCTTCCTTGATTGAAATTCTGCCTTATTTAATCAAACAAGAAACTCAGTGGCCAATATTTTCTTCTCCAAATGCAGTTTTCAAGAGTCTGCAGGTTTCTGTTGCTGTATTTTGGACTTTCGTGTGACACTAGATGCACACAATGTTATAAAACATCTGCCATGACCATGGTTTACTCACAGCTGATACAAGGCAGTGATTTACTTCCAGCTGAGGCAAGTCACAAACAGTTGTTAAAATATGTGATTTATTGCCCCTGTGGTATGCATTATACATGTATAATTTTTGGAATTTGTTTTACAGCCTTTTATAGAAGTTGATATATTTCTAACTGTATTTAATTGTCACAGTTTTAATTTCAGTAAAGTTAACTGAACTGAAGCATCCATGCCTTCCATAAATGGGGACAGTACTCTGAATCATAAGCAGTCACTTCCCATTTCAGTACATTTCCTGTATTCATCACGTCTCCAAAACCAGAGATACTTTGAATTTCAGAGCCCATAATACAAGTGTATATAGTATAATGTATGATAGTGGACCTCATTTTCAGAGTGAGTATCAAAGAGTCATCAGTGGCGAAGCTGGGATCTGTTTGTCGGAGAGTGTACCGAATCTTTTCTCATGCGTATTTTCATCATCGGACAATTTTTGATGAATTTGAGGTAATTACCAATACATAATTGACCACATGTACACACATCACTAATCCTTTGAGTAATGCTTGTATTACTTCTTTTATTATCTTGTAAGAAAACATGATTCCAGCATCATTATATGTTTGTGTGTGTGTACAGTTATGGCTTCCAACTAGACCCTAAATTTTCACAATGATTGTGAATGTAACATCATTAGAGGGGATCCTGTACAAATATTTTTTAATCCATTACCATCAGTATTACCAGTACTTAATTTCTTAGTTGCTGATGTACAAAGAAATTGAAGAATGGCCATTCAGAAAATGACAGATGCTCATGCATTATTGTGAAATATATATAAAAAGTGGCTGTCATTTCCAATTTTATTTTCATTAGCATGAAGTCTGTAAGTAATAAATACATGTATACTAATACCAATACCATTTACACATGATGCACCTAGGCCAGAACTTACACTTCTGTCAAAACAAAGGTTAATTTAGTGGAGTTTTACTTTTAGTTGTCAATATGAATAGTTTAGTATGATCACATGCAGTATATAACAATTATGGAAATGCACACAATGTCCCTAATAATGTTAACACCCTCTGGACATTTTTTAATTATTCAAAAATTCACACACCCCAAGATACATATCTAACTGGTATGTGCAAATTCATCAAGTGTTTTGAGTATCATAATCATTACTACTAAAGCCACATGGGGATATTTTATCCTAACTTGTTATATAGACTATGAATGTTTCCTTGCCAGTTGACATCACTATTTTGGTTATGCTTATCACAATAGCATGAAATGTTAAACTAATAAAAAATGTTTTGTACTTCTGTGCAATACATACGATTTATATCTGTGTTCCAGAATGAAACATATCTGTGCCGGCGATTCACGGCGTTCGTCACAAAGTACAACCTCATGTCCAAGGATAACCTCATTGTGCCCATCATGGAGGAAGAGGGCTCAGGGGAGACGGATGCATAGACACCAACAGGAATCTGTGGTGAAGGAAGAAATGCTCTTGCAACCACAGTGGTCAAATCCGTTACACATAAAAACATGTAGAGATCAAAAAGCAAGTAACTGGATTGTGCCATTTAATAAATGACTGGAGATGGAGTGCAGCTGCCCTACACACATTTTCCATAATGCTGTTGGTGTGATGTCATCCCAAAGCTGCACATATTATTTTGAAGGAAAAAAAATGGTATCACCAAAACCTACAGCAGATATTTTTAAAACGGTAGGAAATAGAAACGTACAATAAAACATTTTACGAGAATGTTTCTTCCATTTCAGTTGTATAATATTATGAATGTTCTACCTAAATATATAGGATGGATGTACTATCAGATTTTATCCAACAGCAAGATGTATAGGAATGCAAATGTCAGGTATTTGTTTTGGGACTGTTCAAAAGAATTTGGTAAGCTGCTGAGAGACACCACTTATAAGAAGTAATCATACTGATGTGGCTCATAAGCCCCAGGAAAACTACAAACTGTATTATACTCTTTAGTTACCAAATTATCATTAATATTAATAATCAGTAAAAGGATTAATTTTTATTGTATGGGCATTACTGTGTAAGTACATGTAGGAAGTTAACAGCACAGTACAGCATTCCCTTATCTGCTGTAGGGGTTATGCTCCTAAAAAAATTGTGGTTGGCAAGACCAAGGCATTATGGGTTACACAGGGTTAGGGGAACTAAGGCCGCTCTTAACAATCTAAGCCTATTTGCCTATTCCTTCACTAACCACAAAAAATTGTGGAACATTAAGACATGTGCCCAGTGGTACCATGGAAGTTATATAAAACTGGCTTCAGATTTCATTACAGCCCTGTCCATGGCAAATTAGGATGTCTTGATATGGAAACCACTGATTGTGTGTACAGAAACGAAAGCCATGGTTTGCAAAACTAACAAATGTAAAATCAAGATTTGTGAGGAACTGCTGTATTTAATTTTAAATTCCACAATGCTCTATATATATATATATATATTATAATTTATGAAACTATTTTATATTCATCTGTTCATTTTTCTCATTACTTATATAGTTATAAAAAACACTGCCTGGAACTTAAATTAATGAACAGTGATAAATAATAATAAAAATTACAACTATCTATGGAACTGTGATTTGTTTTATTCTTACCCGTTTGATCATGTGCAAGACAAATATCCTTTTAAGCATCACTTCTTCACATTTTTATGGTTCTTTTAGCTCTTGCTAAATTACAAATGCTTGCACATTCAGAACTTGAAACACCAATAGCATAGTGTCTGTTTATTGATGTGAATCATATCTTAAGAATATTAATTATTTCGTTGAAACTAAGGCAATTTGCAATTTATGTAATGCTAACTTTCCTATGAAATAATCAAATAAAAACAAGCACTATCAGAAACTTAATTTGCCTGACTAGTTAAACGTATTAAAACTTCCTAACGCAAGACAATGTATCCATTCAACAGTAACTACAGGATATATATTACGGAAGTATGATCACTTCATCACTTTCAGGTTCATCTTCTTCCTTTATCGAAATGTCTGGAAGGTCTATGTGTGCAATTGGTTCCAAGTTCTGTGTCTGTTTGCCTGAAGACTGTTTATGTCCTGTCCCTGTTCGTAAACCCATTGCAGCAAACTGCTCTGCAGACACACTAGTTTTCATACTCTTGCGAGCCGTTGGTCCTGAACGTTTGCGCTTTTCAGAGCCTTCACTTGATTTCCAAAAGGTGTCATATGCTCCAGGAGCTTGGTATCTAGGAATAAACAAGATTTAAAGTTGAATATAAGATTCCAGATGAAAGACATCTGTGGAATTTTATTCACAGCCCTACAGTTCCTGGACTGAAACTGGAGAACTTAAGACCATTATTCCACCTATGTGAGTCTTAACCTATTACATGAAGTAGAATTGTCAATGACAAACCAACAGTTGTTAGGCTGGTCAAGACGTTCTCCATCTTTCATGGAACCAATAAGTTCAATTACTGTATTCATAAGAGCCTGCCTTGAACCTATTTTCCTCCAAATAAAAGGTATATTTTTTTATTATTAGGAATGAGCCTATACACAAAAAGAAAACTTCATGGATGTGAACCTCAGACTCTCACTCAAGCAAAACAGCACAACAGATTGTGAATGTTTCAGAAGAGAACATTTGGATTAAATAATATAATTGGCCATTTTCATACAAGTTTATATTACACGCTTTAGTAGTTCATTACATGTCTATATTTATTATTTTACTAGAGACATGTTTTTTGCTATGTATTACTATACAAGCTTAACAGAGTTGCAAAAACAACCAATGCCAGATGATGGATTATCTGTCTGTTACATGAAGCTAGTAAAATAATTATCACAGACATGTAATGAAATGCTAACGCTTGTGACACTGATTTGTTGTGCAAAAATGGTCAATAATAATATTACTTAATTTGATCTCAACATGACACTCCAATATAACCTTCAGAATATTTGGAGATGGCTGTTTTCTGGATTGTTGCACCATGTGATCTGGCACTTTAATATTTTTTCAGAGCTGCTTGTTGCCACTAAAGAGTCAGTAAAATTCTACCAAACTACACAGTATAACAACCCAAAAGACAGCCATCATAGTCACCACCACAAAAACCCAAAGGCTCACAGATTATTTGAACTTGAAAAGAGACAAGGTTACAGAACATAGAAAACTGCAAACCAAGGAGCTTCATACATAGTACTCTTCAATGAATATTATTAGGGTAATCAAATTAAGTCAAGTTAAATGGCCAGACCATGTAGAACACATGGATGAGTACAAAATTTTTGTCTGAAAGCCTAATGTAATAGACCACTTGGAAGACAATGAAAAGATGGGATGATAATATATTTTTCCCAGAGAAATATGGTTTGGTGATGTGGACTGCATTTATCTGATTCAGGACAGGGATCAGAAACAAGTTTTTGAACACTGCTTTGAACCTCATATTAAGTTTTTGAACACTGCTTTGAACCTCATATTCCTCAAAAGGCAAGTTATTTTTGGACAATGTGAGAAATTATTAGCTTGTCAAGAATGACTATACTCAATGTGTTAATTTATTTAATATTGTATTTACAATGTACTGTCTCTTTCGTGAGATATCAGGTTTTCATGGTGCAAGTATAAAGATGACAGCCTTCAGGGGCATTCACCATTATGTATTGTAGATGTTCACAGACTTTTCCGAAGTGCTTACTGTCTCCATCATGAGGGCCCTGACGATACAGGCAGTATGCACCTCTAAAACGTAGGTGAAATACGAAACTGCACGGCACAATATCCCAGAAGGCTTTCATCCCTACCGTGTGTATTAACAAAACTATAATTATATGCACACTGAAAACTATCAAACTACTATTCAACCCTTATTACTTTCTTGTATATTCCTCCACTGATGAAGAAAATATTTCTGCATCTGATGTAGAATTGAAAGCTTCACTGCATACTCGCTGGACTGTTCGCCGGTGTATCCCACAAGCCTTAGCAGTCAGTTCTTGAGCTTTGTGAAAATTTATATTTTCAGCCTCTTGTGGATTTTCAGACAAATTTTTGAAGAACGTATACACACTATAAATTATGCGCTTATTCTGTTTGTGGATGTTCGACTTCCCTGACCTATCTCCCTTCCTACGAATTTTTGAAGCCACCGAACACTTTAACACTTTGCTCACGTCCATCTTGAACACACACCACTACAGTAAAAGGTTAAGTAAAGAAGCCAATGGGACAAAGACTATCTTGACAAAACAGACACCATTGGCTAACTGCTGGGGGAAAAGGCCCTTGAACCGCCTACTACCAACATTTTTATCACAATTTATCAACGTTTCATGCCAGTTCCAAGAGGGTTCATCTAGTTACACAACAAATGGAGCTAAATACACCTCAGCACTCCTCTCGAATATCGCTTTAATGATTTATATGTAAGGTTAATGCTATCTATGTGTCACAGCAACATTTCAGGGTTATCCGTTATGGCACTTCTAATGCTTTCAAAAATATCATTCACTCCGGCGTATTATCAGACCCGTATAGCCGAACATCAATTTGTTTCTTCATCACATTGCCTGTTTATTATTTTCATTTCATCGCCGTTGTTTGTTTGAATTTCTTCCATAAGCAATGATAAACAGTGATTATGAACGGGATATTTTGTTTGCCGAATCAAATCACTGACAACTCCTCAATGCATAGTCATATACAACCAATACCTACAGAAATCCACGGATCACTAGCTTGCAGACAACAGAACATACATTAATAGTAACCTAAGATTAATACGAGCATACCAACATAAACATACAGATCGAAAAACACGGACTATCATTAGCTACAAACTGCCAGCACTACCACTCTAACTGCACTAAAATTATTCATACTATCTGCATGTTACACGCCACACGTTAAAACTATTTCAGGTTTATATTGTTTATTACATACAGTTAAGGGACACGAGGTAAAGAAGCTTCACATAGACTTCAACATACGGACATATGGACAGAGATAATACAGCGCACTGTTGTGTTCTTCCAGAAAAATCAATTGTCATGTTGGTAAACTGAATAACTTTAGATCACAGATGACAGAAACATAAGAATGGTTCATGCAAGTAGTGGTTAGGTCAGCCATGTGTTAATTAAATGAGTGATACGGCAATATTATATATATAATAAATATGACCCATGAAGCAACATTTAAAGTTCCAAGGCTCTACAAAGCAGCAGCTAAAGTCGCCAGTGTTGTTAAAGAAAATAATGGAAATCTGGAACAATTAGTACAGTTATATAATAAAAAGACAAATACTAAGGCACTTGCAGCATTGGTAACAAAAACTCTTAATAATGAAGGTCTACTGGATACAATCATACAGAATAGTGAGATCCTAACCAAGGAAACCAATTCAAATCCTTGGTTGTTTCGAATATTAATAGCAGAACTTTTACTGGGGAAGCAGCGACTACCTGTTGGCAGCAAACCCGTCCAAACTGTTTTAGCCTATGGACCAACTCTAAGAACAGAACTCTTGAGGGCAAAAGGTAAACTGCATAAGAAATTGGATACATCAAAATCAAAACAAGGTATGAAAGGTAAGGATCCAGATGTTAAATCGGAATCACCATCAACATACAACCAAATAAAGATGTTTAAAAATATTGAAGATACGAACCCAGAATTGAACCAAGTGATGTGTTCCAAAAGTGGGCGAAATGTAATGCAAGATTATATAAAGTTGGAAGAGGATGAAGGTGTGAACTCTAAGCCAAAACAAATAAAGCAGCTTAAAAATAGGCAGAAAAAAAATTACCAAGTTTTGGAACATTTACCAAGAAGTGAACAAATTTCAGCTTTGAAAAGCAAGAAAAGGAAGCAGAACACACAGACAGATGAATCAATCACAAAGGAACACAAAATTAAGAAGACTGTAAAATGATAGTCATGATATTCTGAATAAAATCATGGCTGTGTGGGCAATACATTTCACTTCACATGTATTTAAGTTTTGTTGTGGAAATTTTTGTTGTTGTAACAATAACTAGAGAATTGTCAATAGTAAAAATACCTTAAATATTACAGAAATTAAATAATAAAAATGCTGTAATCTTACTACATATGTGATTTGTAAACAATACATAATAACCCCTTAAATTAATGGACTATTCAGGGGCAAGTGGTATCCAGTAATGCTATTTATCTGTTAAATTTAATGGATGTTTTACAGTAATACATCCTTAGTAAGTACTCTTTACCTTTTAATTCCTTATTGAAACTTCTACCTTTGGAGGCATAACATTGTATTTTTTCTTCACATGCTTATACAAGATTCTAAGTTCTCACAGCAGTGAAGATGTTAGTGGTGTTCTGGGTTGTGATGCTGTGTAGATTTGTAGTTTGGTACCATAATTTTGAAGATAAAGTTTGTAAGTCCTGCCAAAGTGTTGTTGCAAGTTCACATGGCAACACAACATAGGAGACCACCAACTATATGTGCATTACATTCAGTAGTCTGAACCCTCACCCAGGTAGCTGGATCACTTGCCTGATTAAGGGTTTAGAAACCTGTTCATCACTTTTCAGAAGAAGAATTGAGTGGATCTTTTGACAGTAGTATATGAATTGTAGGCACCTCTCTCACTACTACCAATGGATCAAGTTCTTCCAACTGTGGCTCCCAAAATTCTTCAACCCTGAAAGGCATGCATACACATTTATAACATTCCACTGATCTAAGTTTGTCAGGTGACAACAGGATGTAGAATAAGTCATGATGACATCTTGTAGTTCTATTTTTTTCTCCCTTTGTTTTTATTGCTTTTATGCAAATGGCAGAGAGATCTGTGTTCTTACAGTAGTGAAGGTGCCACTGTTGGTAATCTACTTTGTAGGTATATACTTTTGTTTCAGAGAAATATACTATCTCCATCTTAAGGGCTAGACAGCATGTTTCTCTGAAACACTGATATCTGACAAGTCCACATGGGGTTACAACCCTGAAGACCAACAGCGACACAAGAGAAGTGCACATGCACACATACCATATATATATGTGTGTGTGTGTGTGTGTGTATAGCAGCACAAATTAATTCAAGCTCATGTGCCAAACTAGGATACAACTGATAAAGAGGATAAGAATGATGATGTGCTTGCAGATGCTGTCAGAATTGTCAACACTCTTACAAAGTCTCAATAACATTGATTCTCAACCAGTGTGCCACAGAATTTTGAATTCCAATATTTCTGTACATTTAGGAACAGTTTTCAAAGAGTCGTTATAATGGCAAGATCTTGTTAAGCATGTCTTTATTTTGCTACATGCTGTTAATTCTTTTATGAACTGTAATGTGCATTACAAAATATTATATGAATGGAAACATTATGAAATATAGAGTATAATATGAACATATGTCATGCATACCCACATGTAGATTTTAAGATAATGACTGCTTGCTTGCCATGCAGAAAGATTGAGAAACACTGCATTATTCAGGGTAGAGAGACTTACTTGCGGTAACATATCTTGGTTAACTGGTGTGTTTGTTTGTATCGCCGTTTCATGATCTCCACACAGCTGATGGCTTTACCCATTGCAGCACCTGATCCACTCCATACAATTGCTCTATCTTCTTTGAATGCTTTCATTGCATAACCAAGCAGGTTTCGCATCTTGCTCCCACCACTCACCTTAAAATCCAATATCACAGCTATTGTAGGCACACAGAGAAGACCTGTCTACAAAGGAATATGCATTACATGTAAAACTGCATTTATCAAGAATTTAATTAAAAACTGTCTCGGTGAATATTTCTGTCACACATAAGAGGAAGACATGTGGTAACAGCATCATCATCTACCTGTTCAATCCTGTCTAAACATCTCACTGATTAGTGTTGTTATGGTATGAAAAATTTGTCAAAGTTTGTAGGTTAATTACTTTTCATACTCCATGATTATTAATTAAAATACCACATTACATTTTTATGTGTAATATTTAATTTGCAAACTCCATATTGCATTATTACATTTGCAAACAGGATAAGTACAATCAGATTAATTTTCTGTTATTACTGATTCTTGCCAAGAGATGGCAGAATGAATCACTTGCACAGTCCTGCCATCTATAAAGGTAGATATTTTATGAAACTTCTTACGATCACGTACTTATTTACAGATTCTGATCCGTGTCCCTAATGGACAAGGGGAACTGAGGTAATGTTCTTGTTCGTAATTTCATAGAGATCAGCTTCATAATTTAAATTCTTACACGATATTGAGGTGATTCCTTATGCATATTTCTGCCGATCTGTAGGAATCTGAGTGACCATACTCTTGCCAGTTTCAGGTCATGGACAGGTCAGCGTTATGTCAAAGTAACGACAATATCAGTCCGATGGTTTGCCGA